AAATTTGTATCATAGCCCACAAAGGCACCCTGGCAGACATGCTGATACCGTCGGATCGCGGATGAGGCTACTTAGTAGGGGTATGGGGCTACATGTAGTGTTAAGCAGGAGGCATATATATGATATCGTCTGAAGTTTATGTATCAACTGTATGTACATATATTCACGATCACGATCCATAGATCACAGTTTTCCAGGTACATGTAGCTGACAGTACTGGCTTTGAACTACAATGTATGCATTTCTCCCCTACCCTACTATTTGTTCATTTTATTGCCTTCTCGTCGTTTTTCAAGCTCGTCGCACCCCAATCCCGAGCAGATAATGATCCCAAGACCTAATTACTCCCTTCCCCCAAACTGAACTTGCGCTTACTGCCGCAGCGCCCAACTACATATACCTGAGGTCTCCTGTTCTCGCGAAGATGTTTCAACCTAGGAAAAGTTAAACGTAACCTCGATTTTTTAAATTTTAATTTCTTCCCCACCACGATTTATGTGGCTTCCTATTACCGACTACATAGGATTACACCAATTCGCATACGTGCGGGCCGCTCCGACAGAAGCGAATAACGGCAATTAATGAATTAAACAAAAAAAAAAAAAGAAGCGAATAACGGATTTAAGCATAAGGTATCACTCGTCACACACATCTCACGTGATCCAGGCTCACCACGAAAAAAAATCTTTCCGCCGGTAACCGAAAAAAAATCTGCCAGTGACCAAGAACATTGTAAAGTAAAACGAAACAAAAGATATCACACTATCATGATGCTTTCATATGAAAGCCCCACGCGGGGTCGAACCCGCAACCTTGAGATTCCGCTTAAGAGTCTCACGCTCTACCGATTGAGCTAGCGAGGCATGTATTCCCGCCCCATTTTTGCCCTCACAGTGGGAAAATCATTTGGTATCTAGACTACAACTACAATTTTAAACAGCAACCAATGCTCATGATGTTATGATCCTGTCCAACGCTAACGTACACGACAGTGGAGCAGAAACGTACAATAAACAAACGCCCAGTGGAATATAATACAGGCAAAAAGTGATCAAATAAACAAACGCCACACAAAAATGTCAACTCCCCTAAATACGAGAACGAAAAGAGAACAAAAGGGTGAAGGGAGAAAGAAAATATAAAAAGAGCCCTACACCGAGTGTACCCTACATTACTCTGGTATGAGTGTGAATCGCTTCATCAAGCAACTCAGGCCAAGTCCAAGGAAATGTCTTTATTTCCATCCTCTCTTCTTCCTCACGCCCATGCCCCGAACACATCCGCTTCTACCCTCCTTTCTTCCGGCCTCCACAACGCAAAAGCGAATAAAGTCCCTGCTCTCCCATATGAACTATGAGCGCCTAGAATATTCAGATATTGATTCTCCAAGGCCCCCGAGCTTTGCAAAAAGTAGTCAATCTGCCCGTTGTCGTTCAATAATACAACCTCTTTTCAGCGAGCTCTTCGCGCGAAAAATCGTGTGTTTCAAGCTCTATAGTTGATGGTAGACGCGAGAATGGAGTGTTGTGCACGTTTGCCGATGATGATGGATAGACAGTTCGGATGAGAGTATCGAGGAATGTTGTTGCAGTGCTAGGAACGTATACAGTGCGCAAAGAGGCTGCATACGATGCGTCGACAGTAGGATTAAACGGTACGCGATAGGGTCTGAGTAATGAAGACATTATAGATGTTGTCGGCGGCCATACAGCCGTAGGTTCCCGCCAAACCGGTGACATGTGGATCAGTGTCTGATGAGTCGCATTCCTTCTTGTCCCTTCCACGCCGGGCAGCAAGGTTTCGCTGTTGAGTAGTAAGAAAAATGCAGCTGGAGATCCAACAAAAAAGACATTTTTGGTATCAAAATCGAATTGGTATCTCTTGTTTCCCTCTTCATATCTTGGGGGACAGGGTAGGCTGACTAGAGAGGATATCCATTGCATTGCCGTTCAAGTGAGTGTGCGATAATGTGAACTCGACCGCCATTCTTTTCAAGTCTGGGTTTGTTTTGCCGCCATAGACCATACACTCGGTTTGCTTCCTTCACAACCGCGCCAATCATTTTTTGTTTGTGGTGGGAGAGGTAGTAAGGGATGTCGAGCATGACATCACCAATCAAGTTACGCACAGCTGGGATTGACGGGGGAGTAATATCTTCAAGAGAGAAATCGTTTTCGCTGTTGTTGGAATTCCGTTGGAGAGACCTTCTTCATCGAATGAGAGATTGTGACGCCATTTATCTGTGCACCTTGTGTGAAGACAGCAACAGGGTAGTCAGTTGAGCTTACAGGTAGCACCATCATCCCGACTTTTCCGTCATCCCGAAGGAGTGGTCTCACAGCTGGATCTCTAAGTTCCACGTTTATATGTCGTCTAAAAGAATTTATCGCATGCGTGAAATGGAAACTCTCGACCCTTCACTCAGTTTCTGTCCAATCCCATGAATCACCAAAATAGATCCGTGACTTCTATCCTTTCCTCATCATGGGTCCTAGGCCCTCTAATGACAATGTCTCAAATCTTCCTTCGGTGCCTCTGCACTACGGTCGTACTTCGTCTTTTTTCTCTTTCCGTGCTTCGGTGGGCGTACTACACCGGAGGTAGATGTTGATCTCGTCTTTCTAGTCGCAGTGCCAGACGCCGCAACCTTCTTTCTTGCTGGATGGATGAGGCGTTCCCACACATCTTGCTGAAATCCGCGGACTACATGTGTCCCGACAACTTTCCCCTTCCTGATATTCGCCAGTGGTCTTTTATTTCCGAAACTCAACATAGTATCACGGCAGATATACGCATCAACTGCATTGGCAAATAAGACCCAATCGGCTTCATTTGCCGTCGTTTGCCCCGGTGTTACACTACCGGCCACGCCTGACTTCAGAGTTGCAGAGTTGATCGGATGCTCTGTCTCGAAGCTGCTCATTCCCCCTTCCTGGTGCCCTTCACCGAGTGAAGTCCCGGGCGTGTTGGCGGGCAGAAGCAGTACTCTTGTCAACAATTGCCACCTTACTTTCTCCTCGCCTTCGCGGCCAACCTCAACGCACTTGAGAGCTCCATTTCCCATTCTTCCGTCCATGCCCTAACTTCCTCCCACCCCAGCCTCAAGCCGGTTTGCAATATTAGCTTCAACCGGAAGCATTGTATCTTTATAGAACCAAGTTCCCCGCATAACCGAAGCCACATCCTGTAACGGGCTCCAATATATCGGTGTCATAACAAAGCTCGGGAGTAAGACCTGATGGAGTCTTTGTATTCCAACCGGTATCTCTGTCTGTATTGGTGGTGTCGGTGGCGGTGAGGCCTTCTTCATACTAGATCTCCGCGACGTCGAGGAAGACCTGCTCGTCGTGTTTGGCATAGTCATTGCCCTTGACTGCGTTAACGAGCGAATAAACGGGTTCTCGTGGTACCGCTCCTAGTATTCGGGGAAGTACCCAGCCCACCATAACCGGGGCTTGTACCCAACCCTGTACTCACCGGCGAGCTAGAGCTCGCGACCCAGAATACAGATGCCGTAGGGGGGACGGCGACCCCTTGCGCAACGATTTTTCCTCCCAACTATTCTCACGACCAGTGCCCATCTCGTCCGTAATCTCAATAGCTACCTCGCTAGACTCCCCTTCCTTGAACTGCAATGGCCCTCCTTCGCGACTTCCCGTATCGTAGCTGTACTAGTGCTTGTCTCATTGGATGCCCTTCTCCCAATAGCTTTCGGCGAGGTTCCACGAAAGATTGACGACAGTGCTGCTGCAGCCCTGCCTCGCTCTGCTTCTCGGCGCGTTGTGTCTGGAGGTGGTCCTGATACCGCTTCGAGGGCGAGGGAGTCGTAGCGTGCAAAGGGACGTGGTGGGTATTTTCGTCTGAGCTGTGGGCGGTGGGAATCGGAAACGGCGCAAGGGGATCATCGAGAGGGAACGGGGAGGAGTAAACAGTACGAATTGATTGGCGGGGGCGGAGAGGGTGAGACGCCGCGAGTAGTCATGTTTCTAGGTGCTTGAGCTCTATATGAAGCGGGTGGAAGCTTGCTAGCTAGGGGGAGGCTGCTCGAGCCTTACTTAACTTGAAGCTTTACCATAGAGCTATTTGTGCTTGAGGTGCTCTGTGCTGGATAAGTGGAAGGGTGGGAGAAGAACAGATAAGATTAGCAGCTTGAGGAAACACAAGGCTATAATTCAAAGGACACTTCTGGAAGACGGAGGAGGAGAGTAAGTGCACTGGTGGAAGATGGAAGAGAGAGGAGGCGACACAATAATAATAATAATATCAAAGGGGGTGACGTAGCCAGTTGTTGAGAGAGCCGCAACAGTCTCAACACTTTTCCGCACAGATTCACGTCCAAAAACCTATCAAAACAGCTTCCGTCCTTTAATCTACATATCCGTCACAGCTTCTCCTCCGTGCATACAGAATTCTATCACATCCCACAAAAACACTTTCCTCCACCTTCTCCTCCTCTCCTCCTCCTCCCCGTAACTACGTGTAGTTGACACCGGTTTCACACTCTCCTCAAGTGACTCTTTCGCTCTCTCCTCAGCTGCTACCTAAAAACACCTAAAATGCCTAATGACTATGTTTTGCACTTGCCCTTCCCTGCTGGAGCTCCCCATGATAACAAGGTAGATAAGCGCTATGGGCTAGGGTTCATGTAGCACTCCATCACACGCACACTGCATGCCTCCTCATCCACGTCAAGATCTCGGGACTTGTGAAGAAGGGAGGGGAACAGGTTTTTTCTCCGCCGCGTAGACTTGTTGCCTGGGTTCGATTGGTACCCGCATAGACTACTACCTACATAAGGGCGCTGCGCTGGACTGCCCCGAATGGAGGATCCGGACGGTGTTTTAAGCATTGACAAGGCGTGGGGGGTCCTTTATGCTATGCCGTTTGAGTAACTGAGCCACTCAACACCACGCAGTTCTACCGTTTTATTTTATCGTGTGATACACCATCGCTCTGCTCGGAGAGAGAATCGCAAAATATGTTGAGCTCTCCTCTCTGGCCCTTGGCAGCCTCATCTTCTTCAATACAAGTGAGTAGCCGGAGCGGAAGGCCGGTTGATAGCGCTCGAGTAGTATTCTGAAGGGCGTCTTGGCATTTGGGTTAGGGTTAGAGACAATGGTGTCTCCCCCCGAATAAAAAAACCCCCCTACTGGACCAGGGTTAAAGAGTACTGATGGGCACGTACGACCAAAGATCCTATCACAAACTGACTGGTTGGCACCAACTGTCCTGCGTTGCGTCCAGCTTGCACAATATAACTCCAGCCAATTTGCAATAGGTTGGACATGAGGAGTATTATGAATTGTGATATTATTTTGACTACTAGTCTATGCTTGGATCGGATACATCTGCTTACAAACTGCCTAAAGTACCAGAGCGAAGAAACCCCAGCAGATGTAGAAATTCCCAGCCTCTCAGTCCAAACGCTAAGGGTGTGCCTATAGCTCCACCAATCTCGTTGCCATCAACGACCCCTCCACCGTCTGTTAATGAAAGTCCAAAGGCCACAAAGATAATGTCGAGGGCCCCAGTTTCAGGAAATCTGTACCAATCCATTTGCCACTGTAGGTCAGCGCATGAAAACTCAACCATGAAAACGGCGTAGTTGTACAGCAGTACATCTGCCCTCAAGAACCAGCACCATATCTTTGACATGCCCATCCCTTCGTGTGTCTTCACGACATGTAGTGATTAGTAGCTCACCATACAAATTGTTGAAGCTAACTGTAAACGTCGGCTGGCGGTGCAAAATTGCTCTAAAAGGTAGTGGAGGATACTTTTTTTCGTTAAAATTGTGTCCATCACGGCGCCGTCGTGGGCCTAACATATTGTGTGATTACCGGGAACAGACGAAGGGATTTGGTGACATTGGATCCACAACAAATTTGCAGAGTACCACAAGAATTTTATGTTTAGGATTGCATAGGAGGTGCTGAGACGTGTTTGTGGCTAAGTCCTGAGGAAGGCTGGGCGTGGGACCAAGGAGAGAACTGGCAGCGACCTAGACAAATCAGCTTCGGTTTTTGCAGCCGCTATCAATGTACATACAGTAACTCTGGTCTAGGATCAAAGAATGCTACATACTTGGGATATGTAAGTGGTTTTCCTTTTACTCTTGTTAAAAGAGTGGATTGAACCCAGTACCATATTTTTATCTTGTTTGTGACGAACGTGTTGGGGACCGAGCGCGTTCAGAGAAAAATAGTGTAGAAGTCCCAATCATCGTACAATCTGGTTGATCTTATTGAACCCGGGACCATAATTATATCTCTTGGATGAACGAGCTTTAAGCGCCAAGTACGTATACACCCCCGAAAACGACAACTTCAGGGTAAGTCGCCAGCACCTGGTCAAGAGCGAATTGAACACTGGACCATATTTATATGCCTTAGATGCCGTAAAGTGTGTTAGTATTAAATATTGTTAATACACTATATAGAGAGGTACTCACAATCGAACGTCTTATACAAAACGAGGTTACCACTCTGGGTTGGGGGTCTGGCGGAGAGGAAGGTCAAGCTGAGCACGGGCAGGAGTGGAGGGCTGAAGTGCCTTAATAACGATGTAACTTCTGTGATGATGATTTTCTCAGGGAGAGAGAAGTCTCTCCCTATTATCTTGTCTCTCGTGACAAGCGTCTAAGCTCTTGTCTACTTGTACATAGTATACTCGTACTCCTGCCACAATACCATTGTAACAGACTACCACAAGGGCCCCTTGGCCACCAGGAGTTGGAGTTGGATCTGGAGTGGGTGCCATGATGATGATGGAGAGAATATTGACTCAAGCAATATACTCGAATAACCAGAGGTCGATCATTGGTATCTGGTTGATTGAACCTAGGACCATATTTCAAGTATATAGAGCCTGGAAATGTCATATTAGCATATCACTGAGTCTATAAGCAGAGAAATACATACGCAGATATCCTAGGGATACAGCAGGAGGAGCCCCACGCAATCGGCTTTACTCGACCGACTCTGCTTCTCTTCCAAGGCTCCTATGGTAGATAACAATCCTCGGAGGTCCCCCGGCTATCACGATTGGGCTTTTACTGGGACTCGCTCCACAGCACCAATGATCTGGGATGCGAGTAAGACTCCTTGAATAGTTGACATCTCACAGTTAAGGGCCCGTTTGGAGGAAGTAAAGTTTAGAAACTGCGTTAAGCAACAATCCCGTTATCAACCGGCAAACAGAGAAATCCTTAAACGCAGTTTGGTTTGCCAAACATGGATACTGTGGGGTGGGTTTAGCGCATGTATTTTGGTGAGGATGTGCGTTGCAGCATGGAAAAGCAAGTCAACCTACTTTTTCAAAACTCCGTTAAAATCATCAAACTGCACTTAAAAGTGGCATGCCAAACACATCAACTTTTCTCATAACGGATTTTCAGTTTTAACGGAGTTTTGGACCTTTTAACTCCGTTAGGTAGGCCGTTGCCAAACGCGCCCTAAGTAGATCTATGTTTGATCCTCTTAGTAAATACCGAATAAGAATGACAAGAAAGTAAGCGCTTACTGAACCATCTGCAATTAATGCAAGGACCAAGCTGCCCCAGACAATTACCTCCCAGGTCCTCCGAACAGTTTTCTAGGAACGAGATATTAGCCGATGACTCGGTACTTATTTAAGTTTCCATCGAGCGCATACCTCATGTGCTCCGCCGAATTCTGGGGACGAAGATAACCAAATTCCTCGCTGTTCCAGCAATAAAAGGAAAGCAGAAAGCCATGACCATCACCATGAGGTTCAAGTCAAGTCTATGGAGAATTAAAACCATCCAGCTGATACTCCGAACTCCTAAGTTATGGTAGGAGATCAGAGAGAGGAGGCCCCACTAATATTGAAGGTCGGCGGACTGCTCTCAAAAGCCTCGGAGATAAAGAACAGAGACTGCAATTCTCTGCAATCAGACAACGTCTTGAAGCTCGCTCGAGGAGGCGGTAAATATGATGCCTTGTTGGTATATTGGAGAATTAGGAGAACCTAGGTTTTATCCTAATGTAACTTCTACTGTGGTATCCCTGGTAAAACGGATATGATGATCCTGGAGATGGCCAGAAGAAACGAGGAGGAAGTAATGCTTATCCCCAGCTCGGCATGGCAGATGTCCGGTAATAGAGTGATATGTCGTGTACGACGTGTGAAAGTAAAAGAAGGCATTGCCTACATTAGGATCGGCTACAAGGTTGTTTCTATTGTGCCGTTCTGGTACCATGCGATGCCGTTAATAAAGTTGCGTCTGTACTACCATGAGACGGAGGGTACATGTAGGTTTAGAGAGCGGCAGAATTTAGCTGTAGGACGCTCCTAGTACTCCCTGGACCTATTTTTCTCCTCCCGAAATTACGTCCGTGTACCTACATGGCAGCTACGACTAAGTATCCCAACATATGACACTTAAGATTTGATGTACTACTGGGGTCATCAATTATCACCCGTTTTCCGTTGTAACAGTCACACCCTGGCAGTCCTTCTAATGTTTCAGCAAACATTCCAATTGCCAAGAGCCGGGATCTGAAACAGTTCATCCCGGTAAACTATACTTAAGGATTTGTGGGTGAACTATCATTGACCCTTGGGCGCTTTTATAATTGCGCCTAGAATAGAGTTAATAATAGGAGAGTTATACGCAATTAATCCAATGCAGCATCGATCGTCAGCCACAAGACCGTCCGCGGACCAAGCCACCGCGCGCGGCCGCTTCTACTACTAAACAGCTAACCCCCCCTGCACTCTCAACTTTCAACAACAACTTGGACCAAACCCTTTACATCAGCAGACCCTCACAACAACACCAGTGCACAGCTTCCCCAACTTCCCCAACTTCCCCAATTCGCACAATGGAGTCTCCAATCCTCATCATCGCAACAGAAAACGCCTACTTCAACACCACGCCCTTCGAGCAAGAAGGCTACACCACCACGCATATCCCCCGCGCCACCCAGCGCGACCTCGAAGACGCAACCGATAACATCGAGCCTCACCTGAAGTATGCCATCATTGCCTTTGGCAAAGCTGCAACACACGCACTCTCTCACTGGCCACCTCCTCCAGCATTCACTCCCCTCGCCTGTGTAATCGCCTACTATCCACCTACTCTCCCTCCCTCCTTCAAAGTACACCCCCCACCATCCAAGCCCTCATCCACCTCCCGGTGGACACGCCCTTCTCCCCCGCCAGCAAACCCCCGCACGTCCTCATCAAATCCTACCAATCCCCCTCCGGATTCGCCGAGCCCTCATCCCCCACCTACGACGCCATCGCCTCTAGCATCGCCTACACCCGCACGCTTGAGCTCCTCCGCCGCACCATCGGCCCCATTGTGTCGATCATGACGACGTTTGGGAGCGTCATCTAATCGCCGAGTTTGTCGAGCGGGACGCTGACAAGACGCTGTCCACAATGATTGACGAGCCGTACGTAACTCACGTTCCGACGGGTACGGGAGGGATCGGGTATAAGTTGCACTGTGCCCTTCTATACCGAGCATTTCATACCGCGGAACCCGCCGAGCCTACGGATGAAGCCTATCGAGGACAGTGGGCGCTGAGAGGGTGTTGATGAGCTGGTTGCGACTTTTAGGCATGATCAGGTCATGGACTGGATGTTGCCGGGGTGCCACCGACGGGAGGGAGGTGGAGGTGGCGTTGGTCGTAGTTGCCCGGCTGCGTGGGGGAAGCTTGTGAGTGAGCATATTTACTGGTGAGGCCCGTAATATTCCTCTTAATACATAAGGAAGGCTAATTTGAAATAGGGATCAAGCTACAGTGCTTGTGCAGATCGGCCTGCTCGATCCGAAGTTGTTGCCAGTTATGGGAGCGGAATCAGCAAGGAAGGTGCTGGATAAAGACTCGCTCAAGAATAACCTCTTAATTCCTGGGTGGAAGGCGCCGAAATAAGGTTTCCATATCATTTATTTTGTTCTACAGGTTTGCTACTATGGATTTTCTAGGGGAGTGAATGTTTGTGATACCAAATGAATCAATAAGTTTCTAGCAGAGTACTAATCAGAATAGCAGAGGCTCTTGTATTTGATAAACAGTGATATAATTGAAATAACAACCTAGTTTATTATATCAATCTCGATCAAAGCGCAATTCGGGCAATTCAAGTACATGCATGTATAAGGCTTTAGTGTACCATAAAAATCAGTAGCAAAAAACCGCTACAGAGACTTCCAAGGCAAAAACACACACCATACACTACTCAACAAAACTTTAAACAACCACTTTCCAGAGGAAAGTGAGAATCTGAATTTGAGCCCGATGCGGGGTCGAACCCGCGACATTGAGGTGCCGATAAAAGCCACACGCTCTACCCGAGCTAACCGGGCGATGTTTTGCGATGCTGTACACGGCATACATAAACTTATTTTATTGAGTTTAGTGAGAGGCACCGGAGACCGGGATCAGCCAGGTCTAATAATCTTTGCCAAGGCTTTAATGTTTCAGACAGGGATTACTTTAAGACAGTGTGAATGCAGGCACACGAGACGTCGAGCTTTTGGGGATTCGACTTGGATGTAGTCTGGGAGTTAGATGGCACTCTGGTTATACACGTTGATATGTCGCTCAGACCAGATCTCAGAAATCAAAGGCACTAAAACAAATCTTGCAGTGAAAGAACCACGTATTTTGACATTGACCTACTTGGCAGTGTCTGTTTTTCAACGATCGACTACATGTACTTTGATCACTTTTTCCTCCTCCTGTTTTAGGGGCTTCTACTATAGAGTAGGAACATACATCCCAGAATTAGTCTACTAAAATGTCAACAATCCGAAGGTTTTGATAGGCCTGAGGTTATATGGGCCGGCCCGGGCTTCGGCAAGGGTATCCGATGTTGGGCCATGGCCAGACTTGGTCCTAAGAAAATTTCGGCCCAGGCTTTATGGGTGGTTTATGTATATTTGGGCCGAAATAGGTGTGTATTTTAACACATCTATCAGATCTAGATTCCATATCGCATTTGACTCTTTAAAAAACATCTTCGAATAGTAAGAGATTTTAGCACCAATAAACAGTCATATACATATACTTTAGAACTACATGTATATGAATTAACGAAAAGGCCCGGGCTTAAGACCGTTTATATGGGCCAGGCCGGGCCCGGTTTTGTTTGGTGGGCTTGGGCCAGTCCAAACCTGTTTCGGGCCCTGGCTGGCCTATCAAAACCTCTGCGTGACCAATCAGAAGAATGCTGGGCGCAAGACAGCATGTAGAGCTTGAGTACATGTGTATACATATATGTGCAATCCACGAAAAATTGTCACAAAGCCTGGTGTTAAGGCAGCCAGACGTTTATACTAAATTTAGAGACAGCTCATGATATTAGGAAGTTCTTTAAAGAACCCAAGTCGTGGGAATTTCTTGTACATGTAGTATTCTTATAAAACCAAACCAACAAGGATTGCCCCTTTAGTTACAAGATTTGGCTTCGCTCGGCCTTGGCATTCCCATACATCTGCTTCCTTCGAACACTACATGCATGTTTATCTCTGTCCCCCATGTTTTTTTCTTTTTTAAGTCAATAGCTATTGTTTTCTTTTTTTCATCCTGATCAGAACCTTCTCCATCCACATCCCGCCCATCTAGATGATGGAGCCATTTACACATCCGATCACTCCCTCATGTATGTTCTTCATAGAAACTTCGCCCATTTTAATCATACACCATTCGTTGCTGCTGTACCTGCTATCATCGGTTTCTCTTCTTGCACTCTTCGAGAACCTCTGCGTAAAACGGGAACCCCAACAGATCTTCGAACTGCCAACATCCGTCATATGAAATGAGCTCGTCCTTTGGTGCCACACGGCCATAACCACACCTCCTCTCCCCACCCCAAATCGTTGACTATGATCCCATTGTCAATGGCGTTTTGATACGAAACTGGGCTTCCCTTTACGAGAACCCCATTACCCAATTGATAGGAAGCAGAGCAGAACCTCTCAGCTGCCGCCTTGATCCCAGAAATCTTCCTAAACACGTCTTTGATAGTCGCATTATCGCACGCCGTCAAAGTCATATATTCTCTCACCTCCGACGAGTCGGAGTGAATGTTAAATTTCAACCACAAATTGATCACGCAGTGCCCATGGCTTTGGCAGGAAGGTAATGACAACCCACACGAGGAGCATAAATTGCCGCAAATGCTCGATCATGCGTAGAGTCTTGTTGGTGATAGACACGAGCTGTCCCCGCCAGTGAAGTGGTGTGAGTGAAGTTGGATTCCAGGAGGGTTTCCAGGATGGTCGCTAATCCAAACCCACTGTGCAATTCCATTATCTACGTACAGAGCATAACGGTAGCCGCGGTCGGGCCATTCGACGATGACGCGGGGAGAGCCGCGTCCTTAGCTCTCATAATAAAAGTGACCTCGAGAGGGGCTCATCGAGAATTGTTGCTTGCTGTTCTCGCCAGACTTTTTCTAGAGCTGGGTTCCAATCCTCGTAGCCGAAAGGACCGATGACCATAGTAAGCGTTGGACACATGGTGTCGGGGTGGAGGCGGACGCGGACATGCATGATCTTTATTCGGGATTGAGGGTTCTGCTTTGATAAAAAGTTACTGGATGCTCTGAGAAATAGAAGTATGTTGAGAGAAATTAATGAGAGAGTTGAGGAAATGGTATTTTTTTTTTCGGTATTTATATATTTTACTTAGCTTGATAAATTTTCTATATGACGCGTGACGTCCCAGTCGTTCATGCCCGAGGACAGCACACCTCTAGTGGCAGAGATAGATGAATGCTTAATTACATCAGCGCCTGTCGTGTCCTAAACTAGGGTAAAGCCCCCAAGAACAATTTTTTATTTCTATTGAACTTACAGTTTTATTGTAGTTTATATTATTTTTTACACTTCCATGTATTCTATCTCCAGTTATCGCGCTAAAGATTCTATGCACAATACTGGAAGAAATATAGTATTTCCCCGTCTTCTTTTATGTCAATAAATAGACATATATGCGTCACGTCGTCTAGCAATGAATACTGCAATAATCGTCGTGCACAGCAAAATCAACCCCAAGGATACACAATATTATCAATTGCAACATCAATACCTAAAGCTATTTCATCTAAAATGGATACCCCACACCATCACAAAGCATGAAGCATGTCCTTCTCTCCCATTGAACCACCCGTCGTTTCATCACTCGCAAGACCAACAAAATATGGACCCTCAAACGCTCACCCTGACACTCGAACGATACGAATCAGCATACAGCAATGTCCTCGTCTCTCTCCTAACGTCTATACTCAAAGGCCTACAAGAACTACAAAGTTTATCCCCGCGCTTCGCAATACAATCTGCTCAGCCGTACCAATAAATCCATGGCGTCGGTGTCTTTATACGACTGTCGTATTACTATAAGCCTCGGTGAAGAACTCCCCGCGCCTATTCTCGACGCCGACGAGACCCACCACGCCGCGAGGGAAAGGATGTACCAGGTACTGGTGGGCGATCGATTGAATAATCCCGAAGATTCGACAACGATAGGCGAGTTCAAAGCCCTGGGAACAAGGGCCTGCACCGGAAGAGGTTTTAATGAGGAGGTTGCGGTGGTTAAGGGTCTACGAACAAAAATGGGCTACACGGAAAGGGAGGAACTCGAATGGCCCTTATTAAGAGCGTTAGAGGAAGGATTGCAAAGGAACTGGACAGCATCGACGCTTTGCTCGCAAAAGTTGCTGATGCGACGGGAGTGGGGAGAATGGGTTTATTGGTTGCGCTCGGAGTAAAGGTTTTGCTTGGTGGTGCTTCTGAACAGACTTTGAATTTGTGCATTTGGGAATTCAAGATACATCCCTTATTTCACGGATTATTTTGCTTTTTTTTTCTCTTACGAGCCTGCGGACATAGTGAGTCCTTTTATGAGCAGCTAATTGTACTTTATGTCATGGTACCTAGATACCATCTCGCTTCTAATTAACTTAAGAGGAAGTAATAAGAGATTTCTTCTCTGTTGGCGTACGCGTATCGGTACTTATGCGTAAGTCTGAATTCTAGTATGCTTTCATCTAATCACCAACTTGCGCTCCAAGGGTAATACCAATGCAATTCTACTCTACGACGACAACCTCTCAAATGTACCATGTAGCTAGCAGCAGCATAAAAAAGATATATAGGATCGATTTTTCCCTCAATTGTTCGTTTGAATCTGATATTTCCTGTCAATCCTCAAAAAGTCGTTCGGAATATCATGATCAGAGGTGCATTAGTGCATGTACTTTAATCCCACATGACACTCACACTTGTGCCGCGGGAGTACTATTCATGACGTATGTACACCCTCAGGTAAAAAAATGTAGGAAACAATGTAGTAGCGTGCACAACGTACCGACCCGCCCCGCACCCAATACACCCCCACGAGTATTCACTAGCCATGCCCTTTGAAAATCCAAGCGAAAGAGCTACTCTGAATGAAACATAAAATTATTGACCCAAGCTAGGGAAGAGTGGGAAGGCCAGATTGAAAAATGTATATAACTTCATTGACAGCATACCACAGAGAATTGCAGCAGTAGTAAAGAATAAGGGAAGTCATAAAAAGTGGTAAATATGGTTCAGAGGCCGTAGTATCTATTCGTATCTCATTGTGTAGTTCTATTACTCTATTCATTCTATTTTCACTTTTTCATTGGGGTTCGGATTGGTTGCATTCGTTGTTTCCTCACTTTTTTCCTGCGGGTGTACTCATGCGTTTATTAAATGGTCGGAATTCTTAGTAGGGATTTTGGTTGCAACATATCCGACCATTTAATGAACGCCCGATACATCATGCAAGATAAGATTCAACTCACAGTGATTACTAATGTACTCAATGAAGTTACGTCGTACAGTATCGCCGTAACCTTACTCCATCTTCTCCCGTCTCCTGTTTCTATTCGTCCAAGACGTCGTTCGTACTCACTATCCATTCCATAAGGATTATCAAGTTATCCTACATTTCTTTATACCGTAAAAAACTGGGTATATTCGACGAGGCTAAAACGATTCCCTAGCTCTAGCTACTGGGAGGTACTAGCTCTGACTGCGGTAATTTATTGGTATGATCATTCCCTCGTCACGTATAGTAGATGATTTTAGTTCCGTCGAATATACCCGGTTTTTGCGGTACGCATATGCTTGGTTCTTTTTGTCATGGGCTTAAAGGATACGTATCAAGTCTCGGGAAGAACTGTATCGTCTACGTCGAAAAAATATGTTCTCAGACACCATAACCAATCACCAAGCTGACCTACATGCACTTGCCTCGTGTCAGAACTCCTGTCTAGAACGAGACTAATAAACCTTTGAGACTGTGTACATCCATTCCATCCACAATATGGATCCATGGAAGAGAGTGTAAGAGTGACAGCGATAAGTAAGTCCTCATGAGCATTTAGACATATATTATATATCTAATATTTGTAGTAGTATTCTAAGAGAGACTAGAGTTGTCTTGAACGTCCGTAATACTGGTGAGTTTTCTTATATCATCAAGTCTTTGAAGAGAACAAGTATGAATTATAGTCCTGATTTGGAGGTTCATCATTGCATAGAACGAGCATTATTGGCGCCTACTGAGTCCTGATCGCATACGGGGGCGTATTAACCCTCAAACCCACACCTCAGCACCATCCACACCTAGATTATACTTATCAGGATGAGGAGGTAGATCCGCAGAGGGTCTCCACAAGAAAACCAAGAGGTACATCAAATAACATATCCTCCAGGGATATCGATATCCACATCTTTTACCAAGGGAATCTATCCCTATGGTTTTTCCGCCGTACGTTGTTTAAAACAGACTACATGGTGGTTTAATTATATCCGAATTCGTTTTGATTAAACGCTGTTTTAAATATGTGGTTTGATTATACACCACACCTGGAATTTAAGAATTTTAAAAAATAAAATATTTTATTTAAATTTCCACACCCCCATTTATATAGTTTAGATAAACCATGAACTATGGTTTGAACAACCCACGCCAATTTATTTTAATAGTTCTTATTAATTCCACTAATTATTTTCAATTTGCTTATAATTCACCCTTTGTCCTGATAATTCTCAGCGTAATGGAGCAATTTTCGAAAATTATGCTGGGTTATGTATAGTTTTTAAGAAGAACTACCAACTACTCTTTTAGTGTAAGAGTTTAATCTTCTGTGATAGCTTCTACCATCTAGAAGGTTATGAGTTCAAATCTCATTGTTGTATTTTTTGCACCAGCACTGACGAAATAGTAGGGCGGCCACCTTGTGGTTTACTGTGGTTTACTGTGGTGTAGTGTGGTTTAGTGTGGTGTAGTGTGGTTTAACATGGTTTAACGTGGTTTAAACTTTATATGGGGTTTTATTTTATTATTATTTATTTTACCGTTTAAGCAAACAACCATGTGGTTTAAGAACGTAGTTTGTTTTAACCACGCAGATTTGTACCACAGGGCTATCCAGGAGGGGCAAAGACGGCTCATCGGCCATATGGTGTCGGTTTGCCCTACTCTGGATCAAGCTCCACAAAGGTGTTTTCTTTTTCTCGCGAGTGGGTGGATCTGGGATAACTGTTATTGTACCCCCCTCTCACGTATATACACTAACGACCAGCTTTCCCACACCATGATCTTGCTATTGCGCCCCGCCACGCTTCTTCAGCTAGCACTCCCGACTTCAATGCTCCCTAAGGGTTTAAAGACATAGGTTTTTCAACATGGTATTCATGCGTTAATTAAATAACCTAAGAATTCCTGACTGTACAGCCTCACAAAATTTCTCATGACTTGGTTAACGAGCGGGTACTTGTGCCCTTATACTCCAAAAAGGCATGCCGCAACCATCGTGCTGATATACCATAGACTACCATCCCGCCGAAATTAATGAATTAAACAAAAAAAAAAAAAAAAAAAAAAAATACCAATCCCGCCGAGCGCACACTTCAGTGCTGAATACACCACGCCAAGCCATCCGAGTGATATCTCATGATCCACATCGAAGGAGCAAGCTACTGTACTGGCGATGACGCAGAGTTGAGTTATTGTAACCGGACCGAGTGACGCACACCCTCCTCGGATCAGTTCCACACATGTGAAACATTAATCACCAGCTTTCATAACGAGCATAGCCACCACGGGCTTTGCAGTTTTGTATGTACTTTATATATACAAGTATTTACAGCTAGCTAGCTGTGACCCGGCTGCGGCGCTGCGCACAGGACCTAACTCGACCTGACCTGATCCGGCCGGCCCATACATGTATTCATGATCGGGACCGTTAGCTTGGGTGCTAGTATTTCCATGTTCGCAATTCATTGCTCAGCATGCTCAGCATGCTCAGCCGGCGCGGCGGGGGCCCCGTGAATCAAGCCGAAAAGGTGAGCGGATCGACGGGAAGGTGCGAAGCGGAGCTTTTTTACCTTCACATCATGCCATGTCGGCCGGGCGGTGCTTCTGATGGGAATTTTATGGTAGGGCTAATGATTGTTGATTCTAGTAATGTAGTCTGTGTTGCATATGAAACGGGAGATAGCTATCATGAGAATCTGATGTAGGTATTGTATCCCTTGCTCCGAAGAAGAAAAAAATGGTTATGCTAGACACTAAGAAGAACAGCTATGCCGACGAGAAAGAAAAGGGAAAGAAAGAAGTAAGAAAAAGAAAAAAGGAAGAAAGAGGAAGAGAGAGAAAGCCCAGCTATACACCGCCCCCGTACAAAAAAAAAAAAAAAAAGAAAACCAAAAACGGAAACCAAAGCACAATAATAATAATAAAAAAAGCAAAAGAAGAAGCCCAGCCCCCTCTTCTTCTTCTACACCCCCACCATAGCGATCTGCAGCTCCTCAGTCAGTTTCGCCCAGCTGCCACCTTCCTTCTCGATCTTCTTCCGCTTCCAGCCGCGGACAACTGGCTCAGATTACAGACTCCTCACCTTTGCAGCCTCCTCCTCGACAAGCTCGACGAGCTGCTTCATGGGGTTACACGTGCTGCTGTGGCTCGTGCCGGATGTGGCCCATCTTTGGTTTGGGCTCTTCTGCGGGCGGGGGCGGGGGTGCGGGAGTCTCGGCATCTGCACGGGGGCAGCGGGCGGGACAGGGACTTCGCTTCTTCGGCGTCTTCTAGATCTTGAGTGGCGGCTGCGGCGATGGCGATGTCGTTGGCTACGGCGTTGGCATCGGGGTTTTGCGTCAGCGTTCACATTGGCATCCGCGTTGTTTGCATCGGCGTTGACATTTACGTCGGCATTGTCATCCGCATCCGCATTTGCCTTTGCAGCATTTTCAGCCACAACTGCATCTGCGTTGGCAGTGTTATTGCATTAGCATCGCCATTTACTTCAGCATCAATGTCGGCGTTGGCATCAGTATTTGGCTCAGCATTTGCAACTGGTTCAAACATTTGCAACAGGCTCATCATTTGCAACTGGCACCGCAGCATCTCCGTTTACTTCAGTATTGGGATTGATATCCACAACGACATAAGCATTTGCGTCGGTGTTTGGTTCAGCATTGAATTGCCATCCACGACGACAGCATTAGCATCGCGTTTGGCTCAGCGTTGTCATTGACCACTGTGTCTGCCGCTGCAACAGCATCCGCGTTGGACCGTATTTGCATCAGCATTTGGTTCGACATCCGCATCTGCAACTGCATCTGCAGCTACATTAATTAAACGGCATTGGCATCGTTAGGCTCGGCATTGGCATTAGCATTAGCATTAGCATCACCGCCGGATCTGCATTCACATTAGCGTCGGCATTGGCGTTGGCGTTGGCGTTGGCGTTGGCGTTGGCGTTAGCTTCCGCGTTAGCGTCCGCCCCCGCATCCGCCACCACATCCGCCACCACATCCGCGCCAGCGTCTACCACCGGCGCGGAGGCGGCGGCGGCTCATCATCTATCAGCACATTGGGCCCATTTACACACCCTCCTCCTCCTCCTCCTCCTCCTCCTCCACCGCTATCTCACCCCACCCGTCGTAGTCCAGGTGCTTGATGCGGATTCCCCTCACCGCATCCACCAGCTCCTCGATCGAGTAAGTGTCCACCGTCTTCATGTCGAAGCCCAACATCCCAATGCCCGCAAAGGCCTTGTACAGCGCGCCCAGCAGATATGTGTCGCACCGGGGGTCGTTGGGTGTGTGTTTGCACAGCGGGATTGCGCCGGATGCGTACTTGTGAATGTGGACGAGCACAGCGTCACGATCTCCTTCACGATGGTGTTCCGTTGCTTCAACAGCGCATCTACATAGTTATACCTCATCAGCCACACTCCCACCAGGCAAACCCCACCGCCAAACACCAGAAATTAAACAGCCAGGAATCAACCTACTCAGAATCACCTCCGGCACATACGCATCAAACTGCCTCAACCGGTCCCTCCCCCGCCCCTTGTGCGCCGCCCAGCTCACCACCCTCCTGCCCGCCTCATCCTCGCCCACCACAACCCTCGGCACAAGACTCTTGCTTACCCGCCCAAAGAACTTGCGACTACTAAACACCCACGCGATGAACAGCCAGTCCTCGAACCCCACCGTCGTCACATAGTTCCGAAACGGCTCCATCCACACCTCCGCCCACAGCCGTACCGCCCCCACACAGGCATACTTGTCACACACCACCGCCAGCTGCTTCAGCTGCGGAAACGTCACCGTGCGCGGCACCTTGTGCGTCTGTAGGTGCAGCGCATACAGGATCACGGCGAGAGCCGTGCCGTTGTCGTCATAGAGTGGCTGCACATGTTGCACGAGGGGCGCTGACGGCTTGATCGGGGAGGATTCTGGCGCCCTCGCCGCTGTGCGCAGCGAAACGGCCTCCGCGAAACTGCTGGTGGGGCCGAGCATGGCATTGAAAAACCGGGGATGCAGCGCACAGCACCGACGACGACACACGGAAGCGCAGCGGCGTGGGTTTCGTGTGGTGCTGGCATCGTTGGCGGGTGCGGGTGCGGCGGCCTCGGGCGTGAGGATATGATATGTCGCCCGTGGGGCAGATTTCCAGCGCGGGTATGTCTTTCGGCGCTTGTGCGGAGGAGTCTGGCGTCACGAGCGTGAGCGGAGAAAAGATACTCTCTCCTCCTCCTCCGCCTGTGGTAACGGTAGTGATTGTTGTCGACATTCGTAGCTAGCTGGCTGGCCAGGCCCTGATCAAGACTCGCAAAGAACGCAGCTAGAGGGCAGAACTCCGCGAAAAGAAGGAAAAAAAACGGGGAAATCTCTCTCTCGCTACAAGTTTCTGCGCGGTATGTTAGTACTTATAAAAATCATGGTAGCCTTTTTTTTGTCCCCCCACCACCAACGGGTAGAATGAGTAAAAAACAACTGGCATTGAGTATGACTCTACTCAAGCATCTGCAGCGGGTGTAACTACAAGTATGTACGCGGGCACCACTCAGAAGCACCCTGGCCTTGCATTGATTGGGCGTGCATACAAGGCTGCCATCTCAAAGTCCGGTAAAGCACATTTGGCTGCTGTACCCCACCCCCAACCTAACTTCTCTGCACCACTATTGGCGATTGGGGACTGTTATCTTCGGAGCTTTCTTCAGGCAGCAATGATGCTCGGTGGGCTGAATAAGGTTGACTCGAGGAGCCGCAGTCTTGGCGGTGGTGGTGACTACACTCGCTCCCAGGGCAGCAGAATGAAGATGCAGATTAGCCGCCTGGAACGAGAACTTCTTGCACAGCCACCGCCCACCGCTGCCTAGCCTTCGAGAACAAGACTGCCTTGAGCGAGAGCTCGTGAAGGGTTCGAATTCTGTTCTGTTTGTTACAAGTACGGCGCTACACTCAGTGACAATTACATAGCCGAGTGATCGACTGTGCAGCATGGCCAACACAACCAGCTGCAGTGAAACAAACAGCTCAGCCTCTTAACATAAGGAATATGGAATACAATTACAGGTATCCTTCGTATCCGATGACGTGAATAGCATGGTGGACATATCTATATAACTAGTAACACAAAAGATACAGACCCTCCCGGAAAAGAAAGAAAGAAAGAAATAAAGGGAAAAAAAAACATTACTTCAATACTCATACATTAAACCAAACCCTCACAGGAAACCCAAACACCGTTTCTTTTTTTTTATAGATTTATCGAGAGAAAAATTAACCACGCCGAACCGGAATAAGAGGCGAACCATGACGAAAGGGCAAAAAAAAAAAAAAAAAAAAAGAGGAAAGAACAAAAAGAAGAGAGCAGGGAAAGGGTACTAAATTAACACGCCGGACCATCGATGTGTTAAAGGGCAACTAGCGAAAAGGGAAATAAAAAAGAAAGGAAAAAAAAAAAGGAAAAAAGAGAAAAAAAAAGCCTGACAGCAGTGCCCACAAAAACCGACACCTATTCCCCAGCCTCCTATCAGCCTGATAGCCGCTGCAGGGCGTCCAAAAGGTCCCGGGGATGATTTCGGTGTGGTGTTGTATGGGTGTGGGAAAGAAGTATCATCGTTATATCCACTCCTTAGACCGCCTCTTTGGAAGAGAAACCATAATAACGCCAGAGAATAAACTTTAGGAAACCAATTCATCTCTCTAGGCAAGACCTCTTGCCGCGTCGCTCTCGTCGCTTATTCCTCTCCTGCCGCCGCCGTCTCTACTCCTCTCTTCCCATGCCGCTGCGTCCGTCTAGTCGGGTCGTCCGGTGGTGGAGGCCCAAATCGGAATTTTCGAATGGGTATGTCCTCCTTGTGAACCTGTCTTCTGTGTTGAAGAAGGTTGTGCCGTTTCGAGAAGGGTGTCTTATGCTTGCAGTCGGGCCAAACGCACCAAAAAACCCCGGGAGCCGCTGGCGCCGGATTGTTGTCATTATTGTTGACATTGACCGAAGGAAGGATCTTTTTTCTTCCTTTTTCTTTCTCTTCTGCTTCTTAGGGGGGTTGGCTGTAGGAATGGCTTTAGGCGGGGGAGTGGCTTGGGGTACAGAAGTGGCTGTAGGAATGGCTTTGGGCGCAGGAGTGGCTTCGGCCACAAGAATGGGCTCATCTGAGTTGAGAAAATCCGTAAAGCTGAGCCCGGGTTGAAATCTATGGTTTCCGTATTGATGCACTTCGCTTTGGCGGGGGAAAACAGGCCCAAGTAGATAATTCACAGGGTCGTCACCAAAATCGTACCGCGGATGATACCCTTGGAAGTTTTGTTGGGTAACATGAGGTCCATAGAAGGGTGAACCAGCAGCAGGAGTAGGAGCAGCGGCGTGAACAGCAGCAGAAGCTTGAGATATATCAGCAGCTAGGAGCGTGTGATGACGATTTGATACTAGTTGACTTCCATCCCAAGTTTGCAGCGCAGTATAATTTTCGAAGCCCAACTCTTGACCTTGAACACTGGCGCCGTTGATACGCAGATTTTCATGTCCCATGCAAGATAAAGGAACGAACTGGGGAGAATCTACAGTTAGGTAAAAACTGGCATTTGGGTAAAAACCGGCATAGATCACGCCCGAGTTGAAATGGACGCCATCCTGACCACTGCTGAGAGGAGAGTGGTATAGGTCCCCCAGGAGATCTTCTGTAATCGAAGGTATCTTCTCCTCCTCAGACGCGGACGCTTGTCTATTCTTCCAACCGGCATGGCCGGTTTCCCTTGGGTTCGACAATGCGGCTTCGTCTTCTGTGATTTCGCCTGAAGCCCTTCTCTTCATACAGATGTTGAATAATGGGGAATATATCTTGAGGCTGCCGGCGAACCCCAAGTAGTGTTGAAGTGGGAATTACAGTGCAATGCAGTGCAGTGCGTTCCTGGGCTGTAGAAGGAATCTCTGAGCGTGAAGGCTTTTCGATTTATTATATACTTTGCTTGATCCATTTTCGATAGGTAACCAGCAGTAATAATTCTTTGCCTTGTTTTTGGTTGGCCTAGTACTTCGCACATTTCCAAAGGTTGGTTACTAGTACGTAGGTACTTTGACATCCTAAGCCCCCAGAACTCATGACAATGAGGCGCGATTCTGAATAGTCCGTAAGTTGTGAAGGCGGAAGGACAAAATTTAATTCAGGTCCGGACCGAAAAGAAGTGCAGTTAGGGACCTTGCTCATGCCCTTCGCTTTTTTGAGACCGCTGATTTTCCGGGGTCAGGGAACATGCTGAGAACGTTCAAGGAAGAACCGTCTGTGCGCCTATGCTCCAGAACGCGTTTGTTTATGTCGATTAGTCAAGTTGTAACTCCGGTCGCGAACGAAGGACCGGACTGATATTACCCGATTATGTTCCGCGGTTTCTCCGATGTATGTAATTGTTCATGTTCAGCAAAATATCCATGAACAGTAGGTCACTGTACCGGGGGCAGTGCAGAGCTGTGGAGGAACAGACCGCATACTCAGTCTTGGCAAGAAGGAATCCTTAGTTATGTACTAAGGACATACCATAATAGGTAATACATTTATGACATGGGGTACTACATAATGATATGCTGAGAGTTGCAGAGGTTACAGAATTCCTTCACGATACCGAGGCTGTGGAAGTAGAAGTACTCACGATCTCTGCTGTACCGGGTATCGGCGAGGCTTTAATTGCAGGCACTTGGTGAAGTGCACTTTGTATCTCAACGTGACTTCCTTTTCAGGAAGTAACTACGTACGTCTATGTGTATGTAGTCAAGTTAATACAGCAATAAAGCTATTACTTTATCGCTCTAATAAACTAGGTAGGTTGTTTGATGAGTGACATTACACTCTACACAGCATGATAGAATGCTAATCCTTGAACCCCACATACTCAACCTTATCGAATTACCTCTTCTCGCCTAATCATGAGATTTGCGAGAAGATTTGCGAGGATACCAAAGTGAGCACAATAGGCTAGATAAGCCTTCAGAGACCCACGAGGATGGAAGCGAGTTAAGATTACTCACGATCACGTAAGTAAAGAGATTTAAGCCAACCAGCGAAGCTCGTCAACACCGCCTGTCGATCAGCACTTTCATCATAATGCCTCTTTCTATTTCCCTCTCCATCACAACTTTGATTGGGCATGTACCTCTTTTGTTTGTGAATCATTCGTGAAAAAAGAAGTGTCGAAAACAAAGGCCGAGGGATAAAAACAGTAACCTCCCATTCTCAATGTGATAGCGAGTCGACTGACCAACACATGCCAGCTCACTGCAGGGAAGAGAAGACGACCGGTGCTACTCAGGACTTACCGCATAAGTACCTACATGTAACTACATAAAACATCCAATAGGTATTTTACTCATCAAGACCCGATCGAAGCCTCCGGCTCTAATTTGACTTCGGCGGAGCTGTGATATTTGGCTCTTCCACGCAAATTCCTCATGGATCTGTCAGTTCATGTCCGATTTGGATAATTTTTAAATCAGTGGAAAGCCAGCCTTTTACTCTATCTAAAGTCACTTTCAAAGAAATATCTTTGATCTCTGAAGAGTCGAGTAGGTTGTTAATTGAAGAGGCGGATTTCTGTTGGGTTGTTGCCTTGACATCACTACCAAAAATCCAGCGCAAAGGAAAAAGAGCCTCCGGACCTTAGACCCTCGTCAGTAGGGGTTTGGGAAGTCCTCTGCGCAAAGGGCCTATTATGAATACATATTGATTGACTGCTAGATACTTTCCGTTGTCGCATCCTAAATATAATAGGTACTATTGAGCTACCTAATTGAGAAGCCCCAAAGTATCCGACCTCCTGCAGGCCGTTGGAAGTGTCGTACGCTATCAACGGCTCATCAATCCATATGGATCCACGCGTGTAGATGCATAGTGGGGGGACCCGTACCAGTGCGCACCCCCGTAGGGCAGAAAAAAAAAACGTGAGCTCTCTCGGCTTTACTCTTCGCGCTCATTTTTTCCGGTACCATAGTTGAGCGATGCCGCACATACGCGCGGAATGCTTTGAACCAAGCAGGTCACAGTCAATACTGTTGGTGGGATTGATGAGAAATCAACGACCGGAAGGAATGAAAAAAAGAAAGAAAAGCTTGGCCTTTTTTTAACAGATCTCCGGTTTCAGGGGGGAGGTCTGTTTAGTATGTACTTACAACATCCGTCATAAGCGTTTGTTTCGGGTTGGTTACTGGCTGGATTGGACTACACGTAGCGACACTACATAACGATTCCGCAGGTTCATTGATAAACCCCCGCAATAATACGGCCACACATCACATTGAGGTAAGTCGAAGGCTCAATGTACCCTAAAACAAAATAAGCAACCATCAAAAAGTATGTTGATTGGGATATCTGTGAGCGTTGTGTGGAAATAATCGCCCCCCGAGGTGGTGGTTCATTTTCAGGAAGCCGGATCACCACCTAGTTGCACGAACAGCCTAAAGTAAACAATTACAGTAATACACACGGCAACAACCCATTGGATTGCTGCCAATGGTCCAGGTAATCGGGCTATCTGAGTTATAAGACCTAAGTGTTCTAGGCCTCCCCGGGACTTCAAGGCGCAACAGCGTCCCGAATCCCACTCAAAAAATCCGCCCAACTGAGAATAGGAATCCCGCAACTACAGATTCCGGTAGAATTATTGCGAAAGTGGGTTCTCCGTGACCCGATAGTCCTATTGGCCCTTAAAAGATTTTTGCTACGAGCACAGACCAACAAAATCCACTCTTTTAGCTCTGACTTTCGCAATAATTCTACCGGAAACTGTAAGAAGATGATCCGGACTACGCTAGACCGCCCCCTCTTCCAGAAGGCCCAGGGTCAGTACGGGGAAGTCATCTAAGCAAGGCCCGCAGAATGTTCCTAGCCAGCTGGCCATGAGTTTAATATCCATCCCATTGCCATCAATAGGATACCTTACTCAGTCGATGAGAACCGGCTAGTAGGGGTACATATGTACAGGGTCTGGGAGAATTAATGCGAAAGTCAGCGCTAAAGGAGTGGGTTTCTTGGTTCGTGCTCACAGCAAAAGTCCTTTCAAGAGCCAATGGGACTCTCGGGTCACGGAAAACCCACTTTCGCAATAATTCTCCCCATCACTGTACGTATATACAGAAAAAAAGAAGGCTGCTTCAAACCTCGCATTGATCTTAATCAAACTAATACTTGACCCTGGAAATGGCCACTAAGTCTGGTGACGGTACTGAACGGCCCGGCCGGGGCCAATAATAACACATCTTATGGAATGATCATATGGTGTTTTTTTTAGAGATACTAATAGCGTTACTCAACCGTGCTTTGCGCGGGGAGGCAACATACTCGTGTGGTATCACTCTTCCTCCCTGCGTAATATCTGGATTCGACAGCTCTCCGTGGCCGCCTAGGGGGGTTTTTCTTTTCATGAGAGAGCGCATAACATGAACTCTCCTCTTGATGTCAAAAGTGTCAAAAACGCAACTAACTAGCGCCATTGACGTGACTCGGAAGACCAATAGCTAATTAGCGACAATGACCAAATCGTGTACATACTTCCCGTTGCGGATAATTGCGCACGCTTGAGGTCCCAACTACAGCGGGATGTTGGCGATTAGTTGATATAGAATCGGCATGCGTGCGTATGGAGGCTCCTCCGTGACGGCAATCATCACGCTTGTTTCAACCCCTCCATGGCCAGTCGCGCCTGTTTCAACCCCGTATCAGAACTTGATACCCCAAGGCAACTGCATGAGTACGCCCCTCGATCTCCCAGATATGGACTAGCGCGCTAGATTTAAAATAATAACTCGTTCTATTCCTATTCCTTTGTTATGTAATCGGCCGACGACCCATCTGATTCCCACGCAAGCAACCACTCCCGCGCATTCGCCACACCTTATCTCAACCCCGGAGGAAGAAGGCGGCGGAAGTGCAGATGAGGAAATGGCAGCAGCACTATCATTATTTCCCCCAGGGAATAGAACTGGATGTTTGGGCGTCGCACGTTGGGTTGGCTCCCTGTGACAACATGTGTACCTATCCCTGCGTATTCTTTTTGCCACTCATGCCCAGCCAGAACTTTTGGTTTGCGGCGCCTCCTCTTGACCTCTCTTGATGGAAGTGGACTTTGTGAGTCGCACTTTTTGGTATACGCGGTCTGGGACTGTGGCTTGTTTTTGGCTGACATAGCCTAGTTACAGCTGGTGTCTTTGGAGTGATTCTGTTACTTTTGGAACCGGTTTTAAGCGTTAGCTGGGCTAGGGCTTGCAATTGGTGTTGGCCTGTCATAGACCATCACTAGATATAGATCCCTGGAGGTACATACATCCGTGTGGGGGTATAACCTTCTTGGGAGCCATCTATTGGACCTAGACTGACAAGGGGATTTATGTGTTCAATGCACCGATCACGTTCACTTGATATGTATAACTAAGGGCCCGTTTGGTTGCAACGATTATCGGCTCAATCTATGGATTGAGCCCAATCCATGGAATAAATATTTGAAGTGTTTGGCAACAACAACTGTTACCATCTGAAACCGAGCGAAACCACAGAAAGGCCATAATCTGAACTTCGCCTCCAGAGGTAAAGTTCAGATAGTTCCGCATGAATTAAGAAACACCACACCCAAAGCCACCACCACAACAATTTCTAAAATCTCAATTCTTATATGGCTATGATCTTTCCTATCACTAGATGTCATATCTCATGAAAAAATAGAAATTGGAGTGATACCGATAGAGTTATAAAGTTGATTATAATGAGGATTAATGGAGAGAAAAATAGTGCCCAACCAAACATCACCAGTTTTACTTGCAACCCATGGAATGGCAATAATTCGGTTTATTTTTTTTGCGATCCATGGATTGACTTTCGTTTCAACCAAACAAGCCCTAAGACTTCCTCACAAAACCATTTGACAATGTAATTATTTTCGTTATTACTCTTCTTTCAGGATTTCAAGGTGTAGCGGGTACATACGTACGAGTTGTAGAGTTTTTGTGAAACCGTCCCAAGTTTTTGGGAAGACCACCGGGTCGCTACATAACTGAATTGTTCACGCTCGGTTGCGGCAGCGGGAGGTCTGGCACCTTGAGGCCTATTATTGTTTTTGCCTCGACGAATGCATATCTAGAATTTAGAGTGAGCAGAGGCTGGTGGTTTTCTCTATCCCCTATCATATGTAGTGAGACTACATACTAACGGATTGATACTAGGGCATTCATGTTCTGCAGCTAGCCACTCTACATAGGTATCGATAGTATACATTTGTCTTTGCCAGAGAGGAGTTACTCTCCTCGATCTCACGATACCCTTCTCCGCGTTCTTCTAAGGGTTTTCACTAGGTGGCCATGGCCGGAGACAACGCCCCCTTCCTTCTTTCCCCTTACAAAACAGAATCTCCTCGAAGAAGATTCCCAAAGCTGCAAACCCAAGAATATATGACGCCCTGATGACCGATCGCTTATTATGGTTAGAATACCCCCCGCGAAGGTTTGAGAATAGGAATAGAGGAGAGGAGTATAAAGAATCTCACTCCCTCGTATAAGTCTCCTCTTCCTCCAAGTATCCCTAACCGCACAATGGCCGCCCCCAAACCCGTCCAGCTCCAGGTGTACCCGCCTCCAGCGTACACTGGCCAGGGGTCCTCCACCCCCGGCTACTACAGCGATATCTCCGACCCCTTCGCCGACCCTGCGCCCTCCCACCACCGCCCGCCGCTCTCTCGCGCGCACTCCTCCGCCCCACTTCCCGCCGCTGCCCGCTACCTCCCACTCGCCTCCGTCATCTCCCGTATCAGGGCAAAAATCCACATACTCTTCCACTCACCCTTCTTCTGGATCGCCCTCATCTGCAACGCCCCCTTCCTCTCACTCATAATCATCGACACCGTCACCACCACCGCCTTCCCCTCCTCTGTGCTCTACCACGAGCTCCTACGCCCCAAATTCAAATACACAACAGTCGTCCTCTGCGTATTCACCGCTGTTGCCAACGGTGGTCTCATGGTCGTCAGCGTCGGCGTGGGCGCAAACAGCAAGAGACCCGTCCCAACGGCCGCCGTCCTCTGCACCATCTTCGCTTTCTGCATCATCTTTGTATCCTGCTGGGACTTGATCTCCACGCGAATGCACAGCGCTAACCCCGCGCAGTGGCCCACATGCGCGGCACGGGGCTTCGGCGCCACCATCACGGCAAGCATCGAGGTAGACCACGGCGCCAGCAATATCACAATCGTGTCTACGCACAATAAGGACGACGTGCTCGGCCTACAGCTCACGCCGACGGTACAGGAGAGTCGCGACCTGGACTTCTTCCATGCCAGTGCGGTGCCGTGGTTATCGAGTGAGCGGGTGTGGAGCGCTGTCGATGCCGCGGGCGGAGGCGTGAGCGTGGACGTGTCGCTCGAGAAACACCGGTACGGGGTGACCTATGCGGGGAGCGTCACGAATGGGCGCTTCGTCGATAATCGCAACTTTTTTCTGGTGTTTCCCGACCTGGGAATTAAGACTTCTTCGACGCGGACGTGGAGCTCCAGCTCCCCCCCTGGCATTGTCCGGATCGGTGGTAGTAGTCGCGATGATGAGCGGCCGGTGGTGGACCTGATTGAAGACGGGAAGCGGGTGGTGTTGGCGACGGTGCCTAGTGAGATCGAGAGGAGCCAGAACAAGGAAAAAGGTAAGAATACGGAGATGGTGTGGCGGATGTGTGGGATGTGGAGCGTGGCGGAGATGTTGGCGAATAGGGAGGTGATGGAGAAGGTTTTAGTGCCGCTTACGAGGCTGGGGGTTGAGATGGAGTTGTGGGGGACGGAGAATATGAACTAGTGAACGAGTGATAGGAATATGGGGGGGTGAGGGACTTATTATATGCATGCATATATACTTTATATTCCAGAACTTGTCGATCTACTTACCCCAGCAGAAAACGGGAACTGGAATGGGGTTGGGATTGGGATTGGGGTTGGGTAAAACTCTCTGGAAATGATTGTTTGACATGTTTCTCCTTTAATTTCCCAACTCTTACCTTCCAACGTATCAGGCTAATTAATGAATTAAACAAACAAAAAAAAAAACGTATCAGGCTCAAGAGCTCCAGACCTATACTTGCACCCTTTTTTGTTTAATATCATTCACCAAGGTGTCTGTCTTTATATTATTCACCACCCAGTCAGTCACTATCAATGTATTTAATTATAGTCTAGTCCGAAAAATCCAAAATACACATACAATTCATTAACAAACCCTGACGCCGCCCCACCCACAACTTTCACCACACCAGCCCTAATCCCCAAAAGCGGCAGAAGTATCATTACCAGTCTTGGCGGTCTTGGCATCACTAAACGGTCAGCCCGGATTGGAGTCGCCATGTTAACCTTCTAGAAGGTATGATATAAAAACGCTACAGCACTGTAAAACATCTCTTCGTGGCCTCCAAGAAATTCGATATGCTTGTGTATATATATGTCCGGTTCAGGTAACCTGACAATCTGGCCTAACCGCCGAGGAAATACCATGTTTCCCCGGATGGATAAAGACCATGGACGAATCGAGATACCGAATCTATGTAGAATCTACTGTTGCTCTAACTACATGTAGGCACTGTGACTGGTGGTCGTGTTTTCGGACTTTTGGTTGGGGCTGAACTGGACAGTGCTGAAGCTGGACTAATATCCGATGGTACAAGCTTCTAACGCCGAATAGATCGTCATATACCTATAAAAAGAACTCGACCGAGGGTTCACGGGTGGGATGGATTATAGCGGAAAAGCCCTTGGAGATCAGTTAAGTGAACAGTCGTTCACGAATACTGCTACTTGACAAGCAGGGGTTCCAATTATGGCAAGAAATAGTCAAGCAACAGCCAAGCTGCGTGATCTCCAGTTCATTTAATTTCTATTGGCCCAAAGTCCCCTGTTCGTCAACTGGCAGTATTCGTCAAGCGACGGTGAACGACTGTAAGGTTATTTTGATGAGACTAGAATGCTCTTACAGTACAATCTCGCTATAAGGATATGGAGATGTGACAATTTTGCATCCAAAAATATCCTTATAGGCGATTTATCCTTATAAGAAGTGCCCAGCTCACCCACAAAATCCCTGTCGGGACCAAAGTTGAATCATACATATCTAATAAGTATATAGATATACCGATATGCAATGTGTTATTTAAAGGTTTTGATTGGCCAGGTTTGAGGGGTTTTCTTTTTCTCTATCAAATATGTTTGTCAGTAAGTAGATATTCTATCAAATATGTTGGAGTTAGTAGATATTCTATCAAATATGTTTGAGTCAGCCAGTAGATATTGGTTCCAACATACCTTGAGTCAACCAAATAGTATATCAGATATGTGCACAGGGCATCTTGGGGTTTCAGTGATCTTAAGCGTTGGTAAACTGATATTGTTTAAGCCATAACAGTTCCTACTCCGGCCAAAGGCCGGAAAATGCTTGTATCCTTATAGGCCGAATATCCTTATAGAAAATATCCTTATAGAAAATATCCTTATAGAAAATATCCTTATAGAAAATATCCTTATAGAAAATATCCTTATAACGAGATTGTACTGTATTCCCTGCATACCGGCATGGCGCACTATTCCTTCCTCGGAGAATACTTGGCCTGCCCCGCCAGATGGCAGCAACTCAACCCAACACCCGCTTACCAAAACAAAAAGTGGTACGACACCTTCAATCCCACACACCCTTTCAGATGCTGGTGATAGTCAGGTAACGGGCGAGATTTCATGATTCTGGCAGGGTTCGAACCTGCGGCCTTCTGCGATTTTCTGTAAAGCAGACGCGCTTCCACTACGCTACAGAATCCTGGCTATCTTGAAAGTTGGCTCTTTTTTTCGCACTGGTTGATGGGCCGAGTGATAGTATGTGATCCATAGAATTTTTGGTTGATGGATTTTTCAGGCGCCGAGGATTTGCACTCGGCACAAAATCTTTGGTTTCATTCGTTATATGATTGGTTGTAGTGTTGTGTCTAGCTAGGAAGGACTAAGACCTTTTTCAAACCCTGGGATGGTTAGTCGAGTTTATGTTCTTGGCAAGAGTAAGACATGCCAAGAACTTTTGACACTACATTTGCTTCATTCAAATACAGCGTTGACTGTCACAACGTGGTGAAAGGACTGGTTAACAGAGCCAAAAAATGAGGGTTTGCAAGTCAGGTGCATACAGGTGCTGATGAAATAATTGAGGAATGAACTACATAAGTAGTACTCAAATAAATGATTGTGAACACAATTCCTCAATGTTAACATACGCAATCATAGATTATCACTCGGTAATCCGAGGCAGACAGAGCCTTGAGCTTTCTCATTAAGAACGCCGGCACGGCTGTCTCCAAGCCGAATACTAACAGTTTGTCAGTAAAAACGTATCCAAACTTATTATAGTCCGTCTGTGCCTGTATGATCTGCTGCTATTGATACTAGCTCACGCCGTTCTGTTTCCCCCTATATATAACAGATCCCTGTAAATAAAAATCGCCACTCTGTACGACACAGATAACCAAAGGAGATGCAAGCGTCATAGTTGCCTCGCGGCTTTGAGCTGAGGATTCCAGCTGCTTATTTGACTACTCCCCCCCCCTCTTCGGAGATATATATGTAGCTAATCCTCTAGGTTGGGTTTATTCAAAAGACTCCAGCTCAATTTTCCGGTAATCTGATTGGTGTAGATTCTCCCATCGGCCAATCAGATAATCAGGATTTTGAACTGGAGTCTTTTCACAATTTTCACTCTAGAATGAGTCTAGGCTTATGGGCTGACCTTCGTGGAAATGATCTACGTATTTCAAGTTCTGACTAGAGACGTCACTTCAGGGCGATCATCAACTCAGGGTTATTTGTTACAAGTAGGTTTCATCGACCTAACGACAAGTTGTCATGCCCTGCTTTTGAGACCGAGTGAGGTGGAAAATATCCACCCGATCATTGACTCAAACCTTTAGATAGCACTCTAATCTCCTAGTGCTAACCGTAAGTCTACATCTTATAATAGATCTTTCATAAATAATTGGATATATACAATTGGATCTAAAACGCGGCCTTCTGAGATAAAATACTTTTGATGGCCACCGTGCGCAGAGTGATCAAGTGCGGACATAATTAATCTCCCAACAAAAGATAATATTGTATTATTCCACCCTGAAAAATAGCACTAATAATACAGATAAATATGTCTCCATACATGCAACTAGCCACTGGCACCTGAGTACAATAGCACTCTAATAAATACCTCCTTAGCCAGAAAAGAAAAAATTGATTTGTTATATACAGCCACCTCCATGGATCCAGCCTCTATTAGTGGATGGTTTATTGGTGTTTATAGAACTACCAAGAAAACGTGGGTCTGGAAACTTCTTTTCCCGAGGGAAGGGGGGCGCGTGGTGGGCCCTGCATGCATCGTGTGGGGGCCGAATAGCGGTGATCTACATAGGATGATGCACACGGTTTCTGTGTAACCAAGGCTCGGGATTATGTAGTGGGTGGCGAAAAACAACTTGCAGAGCCTCGCAGCTTACTCGTCCCCACCTGCCGTTGCCCCTCTTCTCCGCTGTGTCTTCCTTCCCGAATCTCCCTCCGGCGGAATTCCCCATCTATATCTTACGATTGGAATGGGCTCTTTATGAACTAGTCTTCGGTGCTGGGTAAGATTGTGTTTTCTCGTGAAACCTTTCGTCCGTTTGCATTCGGGATGGGTGCATCTGAACTTGGCACCAATTATTGAACCCGCCGGCACTGGATTGTTGTTGCCCGAAAGAGCTTCTTCCCTCTTTCGTTGTTTTCCGTTCTCGTTGGGTTCGGGAGGGGGTGTCATGAAGACGAGATCGGATGGGAACATAGGGATATCAAGAGGGTTGACGTCGCTGTGAAGCTCCGTATGACCGGAATGTGAGTTATGTTGTCCAGTATAGTTGTATAGCGGTCGACAAGCTGGAAGACAAGATGGGCCAGGCTCTGATTCAACCACAAGATCAAATCTACCGTTACGAGTTGCGTAAACAGAAGAGTCCGAAGATCCTTGTTGTTGAACGTTTTGAGCTTCATACTCGGGCAGATTGGCACCAATCATCGACGTAGGAAGTGGGAATCCGAAACGAGAGCCGTCATTGGCCTGTTCCACCCTGTCCCACGCTTCAAACCCCCACGGGAAAAAGTCTTCAATATCAAAAGCCGGAGCCTCAATATTAAAAATGTCTATGCCTGGGTTCGAAATGGCGTCGTTTTGCTCTGCTCTAGCAGAAGGAGCACTCAGTTCATTTAAGAGCTCATTGATTATATCGGGTTCGGAGAAATTAAAAGGTTGATCGTATGGGAAATGGTCTTCCATATTCGAATTGTACGGCTGTAACCAGCCAAGTTAGCCAGTGTGTTCTTGTTTTGTGTAGCTTTTGTTTCTGCGGTAGGATTTGAAGCTCTTGACAGGTGGGTTGATACTGACTTTTTGAAACTGAAATAACTTGGAGATGAGATGCTGAGTGTTCTTTGCGCGGTCCGTTGTTTTTGAGAGTCGGAGTTCTAAGGGGCCGACTTGAAGAGGGGAGAGGGGATGGCTGGCCATTTATACTATTTTGTCAGTGTATTATTGACGTTGCCATTCTTTGGTGTTGTTGCCTTCCCCTACATGTTCGTCTTTCGAGATGTGCGAATTTGCGCACCCACTAGTAAATATATGTCCTAACTGCCCTGCCCCACTTTTCCAAACGATTATAACTTACCAACTCCCGGTGGGGTGAATGGGTCGAGTGTAATAATCGGAGTAGATAACATGGTGTATAGGGCATATATTGTGAGTTGTACAATATTGGCCAGTCAAAAGATAAAGGGCCATCTACCTTCACTCTCGATATCTTGCCCCCTAATATCAGTTTTGTATAGCATCAATGCTCAAATCATCTACTCCGATATGGTGGGAGATAATTATAATTACGCGAAAAATATTTAAATAGCGCCTTTCAACCCTATTATAAGGAGCAAGGTTATTCCATTTGCATGGTAACATGGTTTCTATCTTCATTCGGACCTAGAATTCCGTGATAATTTGTGCTGAAATGCCACTCGGTATTTGATTGGCCTTGAAAGAATGGTAAAGGGCAAAAAATTGGGGTTTTAGATATTATGCACGTGCCAAACTGTCACTAGTCCTGCAGTGACCGACCTCGAAATGCCTGTGAAGTTGGTCAGAGATATGCAGCCTCGGAGCTCCGGTTCTAAGTAACTTATTGTACGTTGTCTGCACGTCTGGTCTGAGGCAGCTGCAAGATCTTCACTTCCCCAGATCTTGACCTACTCTTCAGATCAGGCCATTTTCCAGATGATTCCTTGCAGGCTGGCATACAGTGATAGATCACTGTTACCTGGTACTCAATGCTACCTGGCCAGAATTCTAGAACCCTGAAAACCAATCACAACGGCGGGTAGGCGGAGCGCCTGAGCAAGCCACACTACTTTAGAGTACTCGTAGTTTTTTGACGTTTCCGGACTGGACTGGGTCTGCATATGGGCGTAAACCGTGCTTGACAACCATATTTTGGTGGTATGCAGACCCAGTCCAGTCCGGAAACGCCGGAAAAACTGCAACATGGTGAAAATGAGCCACACCAGCGAGATGACCTACAAGGGTAAAAAGACAAAAGAATGAGCGGAGCCACACAAGCAGGATCACCTGCACAGATAAAAAAGGGAAAAGGATGTACTCCAACTCTACGTCAGCTAATTTCGTTTCTCAGCTGCAGTTTTTTTTTTATTAATCTTCTCAGCTGCAGTGGCAACTACTAGTAATTTCATAGCGTTTCCGAACACGACCAATATTGCATGACATACAAAAAGGTGGATTTGGCGCTTTTTTGTATGGTATGCAATAGCAGTCGTGTTCAGAAACGTCAGGAATTTACGAGTAAAATCTCGACCACCATAGTACACGAACCGTATCTGCATGATGAGTCATCGACCGGCGACTGGTTTTGTAGGAGTTATTATACTCAAGCTATGATAGTGGCACATTTTAATTTACGGCTTAAGAAATATGGGGAGGGGGTGAGTATAAACTTCATCCTTTCTGAAGGAATCAACCAATCAGCCTAGAGAACTGGAATACCTACTACTCCAACGATTTTAGTATCCAGACCCATACTCTACGTACTGGTATTTCCAATGTTTCCGCCATACATAAATATTTAGAAGAAAGTACTAATCATGTAGCAAGTACTGTTTGGAGTGGCCAAAACCAAGTAATTGGGCGAGTTGAAGGATACATGTACATACATAGACAAGGCTTATTCCTTTCAAGAAAGTGATATCAAGCATTTATCCGAGCATGAGAGGGCAGAGACATATGAGGAATGAAGACACTGTTTAGTAATAGTCAGATGGGGACATTTCATGGAGGATATGGCAGAGAGACACATGTAGTTATTCTTCCCCAATAATGATCGAGCATTGAGCCCAGAGTCTAGAAGATATCAATTTTACATCCGAACTGCTATGTACCTACTAGCTAGAGTGCTTGATGTGGGCCAGGTTTGAAAACAGGGGGTTAATTTCCTGTGCACATGCGGGCATTGCACATGAGCCACTTGTACTAAGGTACACTCCCGAAGTAGATACTTGCGCTTCATTTCTGACGTGTGCTTAGAAAACCAGGAAAACACATGGAGTGGTATCATTCTCCATACGTGCATTTCTTGACTCCTTTTGCCGAGGTTGACACTTAAGTGTACTTTGATACCAAAGGGTTAGTATGTATACAGCTACTCATAGTGTTGTTTGCGAGTGTAAATGAATTGAGGGTATGTCGGTAGCTACATAGTTAAATCCCAATAGTACCTACCAAAAGTCGTAGTAGTTGAAACATATTTAAATAATTGTAATCGAGTACTACATGTACTCTAGGTAAGGAGATTGTATGAGAATTACTTATACTAACCGCTGACGAGTAGATAATGCACCGCCACATTCTACTCATGTCGTATTCCTATCTTCGTAGTATTACTAGTAGATACTTTGGGGTGTGGGAAAGTCAGTATATACAGGCGGCAGTGGAATAACCAGAGGCTTCGCAGCATATTTAGATTAAAAGAAGACACCCGCGTGCGGAGGCTCTCGATCCCACTTATCCCCAAGTACCGAGAAACTGCTGGTAACTGTAGGGCAGTCGTGGAATCTCGTCGAAACTAATAGTATTAAAGTTCCAATATAAGTGTGGAGCCTCATCGAAACTGCTGATATCTGTAAAACCAGATTTCGGCTGTCAGGGACCAATGGGAGACTTCGCCAAGGTGATATGAGTAGGGCTGAAAAGTCACCCCACACATATTTCATGTTGATCCTCCTTTCCGCAGATCTACCCAAGACCAGTCAGCCCTAGGGAAGACAGGGATATGTTAATATATGCATGTTGATGCAATTTGTGTTTTGCACAGCTCATTTCACTTGCGTGAGTAGACATCGATGTGGCCTAAGATACCTATAAACGCATGTCAGTTTCGAAAAAAAAACAGCTGTTATACGTATGAGAGTACGTACTTTTAACAAACTTTGACGTGACACCTCAAAGCTATTAAGACGACCTTGTATTTTGTGTGAGTTGGCGATCTCTTTCAAAAATTGATACAACAGCCTCCCCAATTTATCTATCGCGGGCTAGCGATATGTGCCTGTATCGGGAATGGACTTATATTATAAGGCAAGGTTCTTGCTTGGCCTATATACCCCATGAGGACTTTTATAGAAGTGATGCATGACCGTTTTTACTGGCCGTATGAAGCAACTGGGAGTATAATTTATGATACTAATATGCATGTAGGGCGCACCATTTTCTGCCTCGCACATTTTTCTGCCTCATCAGCTACCGTCATTTCTCTCTATGATTTAAGAATTAATTTACGTTATAGATCATTTCCTCAGGTGTGGATCTTTAAACCCGCTGAGATACCGGAGATACATGCATATCATCCCGTCCTCGAACTATATCTCAGTGTATTATTTCGGTCGGGGCATTAACACCGGTTCTTAGCACTAGAGTAATGAACATTCTATCGTGTTAATATTCTTTACCTTTCTACAGCCCCCACGCGCGGTCCAGTGACACGATGGACTGATCTTCGGTAACTACATGTAGAAGCTTCGCGAACGCGTGTGACTATAACGTTAGCAACCTGGTTAAGTGCTGGGCTGAGAGGTAGGAAGACTGTTGCATGCTTACCTTATGGCGAAGGGATACCAAGATCCCAATGTCATCTGTGTGGATATAAAGAGCCCTTGCAAGCGTAGGCTTCGGGCTGCCCTGAGTCCTGTTCAGCCAGGGCGTGCTTCAAGTTTTTCGGAAATGCCTAAAGACAAGAGGTAGATGCTTGGTCGAGGTCTATACATCTGTCTTGAACTTCTTCGGGGTGAGACATGAAGGAGTTAAGCTTAGCCCTGTGGGCCACGTTGCTTATGCATACATGTACATAGCTCCACTTAGTGTGATTTGGCAAAAGTATGATTTGAAAACGAGGCTAAGTCACACCTTACGGCTCATATAATAGGCCTGGACTCCTTCTAGATGCTGTGCCTCAACGTTCGAAGCCCATGCAGGTGCGCACATCAGTCTTCTCTGATGTCTAGACACCTCAGGGTTAGGGCTCGGCGAATAGAACGTTGGGCCCATCGGGCGATAATTCACTTTCTCATAAGCGGCACCATTGTCAGATCATCCAGTGGCATGTGCATGCGCAGAGATCTCCGAGAAGCCTTCGGGTATTTCTATGGTGAGATCTTTCACCAGCAATATAACTGGCCTCGTGTTCCTAGAAGATGTGATATCACTTTTTGCTAGAAGATGAAAGGCAGCGTTGAATTCAACAATTGAGCGATAAAGAAAGTCTACAAACCGCGTATTCATAGCCGTTAGACATGAAACTAACAAGTTTCAAGTGGAAACCCGTTCCGGTCTCAATGTTACTCAAGCAATATTCACATCTGATCACTCGCTCTCAGTCAGCAACTCACCCTAGCTTAGGTAAGATGTGCCTTGGCATAAATCGTCATCGCCTCTCAACCTGCTCATTGCCCCTGTTCCTCTCAGCTCAACAGCTCTCCAACCTTCGTTCACTTGACATCACCACTATCACATCGCTCTCAAACACGTAAACAACTTCAATAAACCGCCATGTCTTCTTCGGCTTCATCAGGCCCACTTCTCTAGTACGCCATCTCTCGCTCTTCTTTTTTCCTCTTCTCGGCCGTAACGTGCTAATAATATCTCCAGCTCTTGCGTTGCTCATGGCACCACAATCCTTTCCGAGCACTCCCCTCCAGGGACTGCATCCACAAATGCCTCTTCTCTCG